ACCTTGAGAAGTCACCTAATGCCTGCATTGGCTCTTATGAGAGAGTCGCCCAATGCCTGCATTGGGCCTTGAGAGGGTCTCTCAATGCCTGCATTGGCTCTCATGAGAGTCGCCCAATGCCTGCATTGGATTTTGAGATAGTCATACGAGTCAGGCAATGGCTGCATTGCCAATTGAGTGAAAGAGAGTCTCAATGCCTGCATTGGCCCTTTAGATATTCGTGCAATGCCTGCATTGGCCAACGATGAACACATTCCCTTGACAGATTGTCATGAAATTCTTGCATTGGCTTTACTATAAAAAGATTTTCAAAATTTTTTAGACATTGGTGATTCTTAGCGGAATTTACAAATAATATTTCGTTTTCGTAATAATCGTCACTGCATTGCAAGTTATTTATTTTCCAAGTGTTCAAATAGATTTTGTATTCCTTTAACGCTAAATTGCATTAGTCTATTACATTTAGAACAATTTCAATTGCATATGTGATTAAGATAAAATTCAAATCAGAATGAGAAGAAAATTGCAAAAAATTGAATGAACACACAGTCAATATTTCCGTAAAGACTTCTATCACATGAATTTGGAAATGGGCAATTAAAACCATAAAATGTGTTTCGGGATACTTTTGTAATCATAAACAACTTCCTTCATAAAGTCGTTAAATTATATTCACTCTGGTAGTAGAAGCCAAGATTTTTTTTCCACATTACCTAAAACATTGATCTTAAATTAAAAAAAAATAATTAAGCCTAATAAAATTTAGTTGAGACTCCATTATAAGCAATACATGTCCCCTACCGGTATCCCCTTTTCTTTTAAGGATGTCATTTTATAAGACCCTGTCTATGATAACTGCGACCCCCCCCCCCCCCAAATGTGGACATTTCGGATTACTTGTTTATGAATGAAATGTTAGAATGAAATCTGTCTTACAAAGACGTGCTTGACTAAAATTACATAATGTATGAATACCATGACAATTACTTACGTTACTCGTTTTCCCTAACCTAACCACCCGCTAAAACTTGTCTGCCTTTAACTTATAAATAAATAGGTATATAAAAAAACAAATCAAATCGGGAAAAATATTCAGTCTTTATTGCATCATGTATTATTTTGCCAAGTATATTAAGTATTCGCTGGTAGGAATTGCTGAAAACAATGTACAATATTACTTTACCGTCGACAACCTCGTTTTTGGAACATTTTAGTGCAGCACGAACCCGATTATAAAAAAGAGGAATGCTCAAAACTGATTTACTCTAGCACCTGTTGGTCAAACGTGACAGAATTCAAACTTGATCTATAGTTTGTCACTATAAAGCTATCTAGCAAGTTTGAAATGAATAATTTTAAACCTGACAACCTCGTTTTGTAACATTAATATAGTGCAGCACGAACTCTATCTTGAACTATAACAAAAAAGAGGAATGTTTAAAACTGATTTACTCTGGAACCTTTTGGTTAAATGTAATTATTTACATTTGCAAATATTTTTCTTAGATGAACCTATTGAAGAGGAAATATGTTCAATTCTGTATGAACTTATTAGGGGGTCAGAGGTCATGGCGTGACCGAATCACACAGCAAGACGATATCTTGTCTACATATTTCTGTCACAGTGACACTGTTTCGGAACTTCTGAGCCGTTAAAGCGATGAAAAAGATAAAATTATTGAAACATATATTTTTTTTGTTCAACAAATGATAATTATATCTTTCTTGGGTGTGAAGAATGTTTATAATTAGCCTAAAATCACGCTTACCTTTTTAACCCGAAATTCCTTTGAAGGTATGTAAACTGAAGACGATATACCACCGCTTTTGACTTCATATATAAAGAACTCTTACAATAATAGTAAGATTATTCTCAGTAGCGATCATTGTTTTTTCATTACGAACAGTTATTTCCTGAACTGGACGGCTTAACATCCATGTAAATATTCAAATGTTGGAGCGAGGCGAACTCTGAAGAACAAACAGCTTCTAGGTCATTGCGCGTCACAACATAGCAATACGGCGGGCCGTTTGTGTAATAAATGCAGTTCTACTCAGAATATTCCGTCTCAAATGTAAATAAAAGTAATAAACAACAATGTTAAAAAGTTCACTGGGAAATGAACTTGGTTGGTACGTGATCAAATCTTCTGAGAAGCCCTTCGGGCTTCACAGGATTTGATCACGTGACCAACCAAGTTCATTTCCCAGAGAACTTTTTAACATTGTTGTTTATTTCTTAATAAAATTCCAACTTGATCTGTAGTTTATCACTATAAAGGTACATAGCAAGTTTCAAATCAGTTCTCAAAAGCATAAAGAAAAAAGTGCGGAAAACCAAGTGGGACAGACTGACAGACAGACAGAGGGACATACAGACAGACAGACAGCTACAGACGGACGGACAGACTCAGAGGAAATCTATAGTCCCCTCCGGTTTCACCGGTAGGGGACTAATTAGACTGGCGATTAAACTCAATTTTATTTTGCTTGTAGTCGAAGGACACAAAACAAGACTAAAGGAAGATGTTTATACGTTTATGTATCATCCATTAGTAGAAGTTTTAACTTTAGTTTTAAACAGAATATGTTTTGGTAACTATAGTGGAGAGCTATATAATAGACCGAACGTCCAGCTATATCATTTGAATAAAAATCTTCCATGACAGTCATAAATTACAAAAAATGCGATTTTTCCAGTAATCAAAACCCAGTGGTTTCTGGGCTGTTCAAGATCGTAGCAGCTAGCCTAGCTGCTAGGTTAGATATCTAGGTCGTATTGAACGCATTAATTAGGCCTAATGCTCGTTATGGCTAGGCTAGGCTAGCATATCGTTCAAGACCGTAGCGGTTACGTCATTTTCAGAGTTATTACGTCATAAAAAATACAAAATGACGTACAATTTGTGCGCATTTTCCTGCAATGAAATCAAATTCATTAACTTGCGTTAAACAAAATTAATATTTTTTTCAAATCATTCTCAGAACTTTTTAAATACCCCTCGTACAGCAAAGAGTTTGCTTTGTTATTTATTTTTTATTTTCGTACAATTTGTGCATTGAGTGACATTGAGAAAACCATCAAAGTGGCGCAAATTCAAAGTAATATGACACTTTAGGAGATTTTCTAAGATTTAGTACATAATAATCTTGATCGATTTCTTTGAACTTAATCTTCTCGAACAAATTAAGAGATTTTCAAAATTTTATGACATAGTGTTCCATATCGGAATCAGAATCAAATTCACTGAACTCAATCTCCTCACAACAAATAAATACATCACGTATATCTATGTCAAGAAGTGTTCCATGTTAGAATGAAAATGCAATTCGTTGAACTCAAAAAACTTCTCAAAACCACAAAATGGAGACAACAGACAGAACAAAGTCAATGACTTGTCAAAAAAGACAGTTATCTTTCATATATAACAAATAAAATATTAATTATCCCTCTAAAAGAGGAAAGAATTTCAAACTAATTCTTAGTATTACTGCTTGAAAAGGATATTGACCGTGCGATTTACTAAAGATTCTCAGACTTCTTATTGAATGTATACAATTGCAAGAAGATAAGAACAGCGGGAAGAAAAGATACAGCTGTTCTACCAGAACATTGCTCCTCAACCTGGTCTACTTTTATACCTAACAAGCAATTTTGCCCGTTATTCTGAATAAAAGATCTCTCTTTGATTTCTACTCCGTGTATATGTTTTTTTTTTCTTTTTTTGAATTTCCTTTAATGAAAAATCCCTACTCTAGGCTTCCGTTAACTTTAAATCTAAAGAGCAAATTGACTGGTTTTCTTATAAATCATATCGTCAAGTTTGACCTTTTGCTAACACCCTCTGGTATACGTAAGTCATCTTTCAATATGCAGAAGCTCCTTCGGAGGCATTATCTGCGTATTTTGTAATGATCCTTGAGATAATGACACAATGAATTGAGTAAGTCAGCAACATGTTTGTCATGCATCGACGGTAATTCTGATCGAAGCTCATGACGAAGTGATGACAAATTCGTTGACAATATCCTTAAATAGATAAAATGGCTTAAAATAAATGAGGTAACTATATTGGAACTGATCAATTCTAAAAAAGGACTGATATATTTGTACAAAATGAAGGTATACAAATAGAAAGGGTGAAACAAACAACACTAAATATATAAATTTTTGCAATGAATCTTATATCAATTCGATCTGTTGTTATTTATAACATTTTTCTTTAAACACTAATTCAGGATTCTGAAACATTTTAGTGCAAAGTATAAACTTGTTTCTAAGCAAGTGTTAAAACTTCATAGCTTCTTCTTGGTGTAAAATCATAGGAATGATCTAAATATTCAAGAATGCAACGTATTTACATACTTTCACGAGGAGTTTTTTTTTCCCAAAGCAACAATAAATCATATTCTGTAGGAACCTTGATTTGAATTATACATTTTGAAGCCTAGGACTATCAGATTTACTCTTTACTATCACATATAGTTATACATGGCATATAGATGTTGGAAGCCTGAATGGCCCTGAAAGTGAAAGCCTGAAAGTGAAAATCTGTCTGTAAATTGCTCTGGTTCTTAAACTCCTCCTCTGTTGGCAATCGATACCACTGAAGTCCTCTTTGTGTATAAATATTGGACTACTCTCACTTTTTCACAGTCAACAATTGCTGCTTTAGATGAACGCTACCTGTAAGTACTATATCTTCATACGAATGTTCGAAGCAGAATTAAATTGCAGTAGCGATGAAAAGAATTGTTTTATTTGTTATCATGTAATGTCTTAGTTTGAAAAAAAAAAATTGATAACATCATAAAACATGCACTGCGTCATGCTATACTTTTTTATTCAACTGTATATATCAGCTCAATTTAATTTAAAAAATTGTTAATCAATACAAATACGTTATATTGTCAATTTTTGATTTTGGAGGATTTGTTCAAGATGCATGATCAAAATTGTGCTTACTTTCACTGACTTATATTTTTGCCTTTTTAGAAAAATGAGAAAGTACAATAACAAAATAGGTCGCTCACAAAGTCTACCTGACTGGAATGGTGACCAGGACGACAAATTACATTATAGAGTGACCATCATGGGGGCCGCTGGTGTTGGCAAAAGCTGCATTATCTCACAGTTTTTGTACGATCGCTTTATAAGTGAGTACAAAGAAACCGTGGAGGAATTTCACCGTGGAGAATACACTGTGGACGGCCGAGAACTTATCCTTGACATTTTAGACACCGCGGGTGCACATTCATTTCCGGCCATGCGCAGACTGGCTATTTCAACAAGTGATGCTTTTGTATTGGTATATTCAATAGACGACGAGTCCTCATTTCAAGGAGTAAAATATTTGAGAGACATTATCTTGGCTGAACGAAAAGGTGAAACTGTGCCAATAGTCGTTGTTGGGAACAAATCGGACATTTCAGAAGAAGACAGAGTCATACTGAGAGAGACAGCTGAATCCATTGTTTGTTTTGACTGGGAGAATGGCTACGTGGAAGCTTCAGCTAAAGACGGTATAAATATTACAGGAATATTCAAAGAAATTCTCCGACAAACAAACATGGGTTTCAGTAAAACACCCCTTCCTAAACGAAGGAGGCTTGGATCAACCTCTTCGGAAAACTCAGACATTTCCACGCGGAAGAGAAGAAGTTGCATTATATCATAGTACATGAACATATTGCTGCCAAGTTATTTTGTTGTTTTTTGAATAAATTAGGTTATTTCTGAAAATATTCAAGTAATTTCAAATATTGCCTTTAAAGGTCTATGTATACATTTTTTTTTTAAAAAGTTGAAATATAAGTATATGGTCTTATTGTGGAATCAATTTAGTTCGTGGGTGTCAATGTTTGTGGTCATCGAATTTCTGATCTGTGAGAACTCTATTTCGTTGATAACACATGTATACTGAAGTATCCTATGTTGAAATTGCCATGTTTTGTAAGAAAGTAAATTCGTTGGCAAGGACGACTAAACCCGCGAAATCCACGAACATTTGTCCCCCACAAACAATGATGATTCCACAGTAATTTGTTCCATAACTATATTGAAGAAATATTTCTTTCACTAGAGATGTTTCTGAATATGAAACGAATCCGAATCTGAAAATGAATATGAAACGAATCTGAATCGGAGGGATCTCGATCCCGATTTGAAAATGAATACAACGTATACATGATTTCTAAATTCATTGAGAATATCATTATAGATTTTTTTTTCTTTGGTTTATAAATCTGTAACCTATATAAAAAGTTTAATGTGTTTGTGACCCCCCCCCCCCAAAAAAAAAAAAAAACAAAAACACCACCACCACCAAATCCCGAGAGCAATAAGTCCATGATTTAAATCGTAAATAGATGTTATATTTATTTTGTTACTTCTAGCAATGTGAAAAAATAAGAGTTTATGATGTAAGCTAGATTTATTTTTTCTTGGGGGCTAGGGAGCGTGTTTGAAATGTCAAGGGTGAACCAGGAATTTGGGCGTGGAGGAGGACATACTAATCAATTCCCACAGGGAAATGAATAATCACCCTATTTCTCCGACTCGGATATTTTTTTACCAAAAAAAAATATTCCCAACTCTCTCCAGACGTGAAAAAAAACCTATCTGTGTGAGGGGGCATGTCATGCTTGTGTGTTTCTCCTCGACCAGCTTACGAGGGTCCGATGGTACGTGTTTCCCAAAGGAGGATGTGGGTGGGAGGAGGGGGTGGTAAGTTCATCGTCGCTAACTATCTTACGTACAATTTAATAACCCTGAAAAATAGGGGGTGGGGCTGGACAACTTTGACACCTTCCACCGCTTGATAGCTACTGAAGTTCAAGTCGTTGAAAATAATGGTATGATATCAGGCCCATAAGGACTGGGGGAGACATGGAGACCACCAACCCCCTTCCTATTAATTTTGCTGTTACATATTACACGATATAATCAGATCAAAATTATCAAAATTACGGTTATGTTCCTCATGAATAAAGTTTTTAGACTTTTGTTTTTTGTTCAGTTGCGCCCCATTCCAGTACTGTAATTGCGTCCTACAGAACATCCATATTACATACTACAAATAGTAATAAGTGTCTTTTTCAATACATACGAAAGCTATCAGTTTTGTATTATTTTATTGTTCAACATAGTAGATATTCGTTCCTCGGGAAAATTGTGTTCTTTGAGATGTAGGAGACAAATTAAACTTTTTACTATACATTTTAACAAGCTTCATTCTTCCCCAATCAAGAAAATTTTCCGAGAAATGAAAGGAAACGTTTAAACTAGAAACTTGTAGACATCAAAGTAAATTGCCTAAACTTTCTACAAAAAATTTGGCTGCGAGAAAGTGGCCACGGGGTTGCTGAAAAATGTTTTTATCCGACATAATTTTCAATTACATATAAATTATAAAATGACTCGTATGTATACATTTACACAGAATATTTTTTAAAAATAGAGTCCAGAACACGATTCTTGCGAGGAACAAATAATGTAAAGTAGGTGAATAATACAACAATGATACTTTACGAGCATAATGTATAATTAAGAATATTCTAATGATGATATCTTTCTCAGTTTTCAGATCGGGATCGCGATCCCTCCGTTTCAGATTCATTTTCAGATCCGGATTCGATTCATATTCAGAAACATCTCTAATAACAACAAAACCTTTTTAGATGAATGTTTAAAGTAAAGTAACGTGATGTTTATTCTTAAAAGGTCTTTTACCTAGATGACATTGACTTTGAATCCATCTCAGTCTTTCTATGTCTCCCACGAAGAGAAAAAAACATTGTACTAATAAATGTGATATTTTTGAAGAATTGAGTTAATTAGCGAGGTTATTTTCCTGTGAAGTCATTAGCCAGAAACTCATATTGGTTCTCTTTTATGATGACTCTATGACGATATACTCATCACTCACCCATAAGAATGTAAACAAGTGTTCCTACAAAGGGTATAATCAGGGAGTGTTTAATTCACATACCGTATAGAGGGTGTAAAATTTGGCGTTTTGCTTGTCTAAATGTATGCCAATAATTTTGGCGGAACTAATTTTAGTGGACACAGAGTTCCAGGGCGTTGCGAAAGAGAAGAAATTCTCATTTAAGGTCAAGATCTATTAAATGAAAGGTGCCTTCAGACTTCTGAAATCTGAGAAACAAGTTCTTTCAATGATCCTTTACAAATATAGCTTGGCGAAATTAGGTGTATCGGGGCATAATTTTTAGGTAAACTCAACGAAAAATGATACTTTAAACTGTTATTTTCAATGAAAAATGAAAGAAATCAGGTATAAATATGGGAGTTTTTTCCTCCTCAGAAAAAGAAAATGTATCAATATTGCCTACAGTCTCTCAGAAAACAGTTTTTCATATCTTCTTGACCTCTTCTTTAAAATGATATTAATTTGAATATAGGTATCGGGGTTAATTTTGAAAGTACGGGAAAAATTAAGTTTAAATCAATTATGGCGTCATAATGGATCTAGCACCAAAAAGACAGTCTAAACTCATTTACTAGATCTTGACCTTAAGATGAATTTCGGTACGTTTGATATAAGTTTGCATACCTATTTAAGCAAGAGTTTGAGTAAAAACAATACCAGATGAAATATATAACTTTCAAAAAAATGCTGATCAAAGGTATTTTTCTTGTATTCAGTACTTATATGCAAGGGAGCAAATTCACCCCTACTAATGTGTTCGGAACATTTTATTTTTCGGTGTTCTGCAAGTTATAAAATCCGAGTAGTTCCCAGTAGCTCTCACAGAAGCTCTGACAAGATCTAGTGAGACTTCAACGAGATAAGGTAAATTATTCACGGAAATGTGGCTAGGAAGTGACTAACACGTGGAGACATGGTAAACAAAAAAGTTATCTTGCGTTTCCTTTTTCACCACTGAATAATATCTGTAGAAATGTACTTCTATCTCTCTTGAGCTCATTCAAACGTCAATAAGTATTCTTCATGACATTATTTTCTGCACTTATATGTATTAAGATTTCTTCTTCGACAAACATGCTTTCATGGGAACTGAGGCTATATTTTTGGCGATAGGTTAGCAAATGAGGAACCTGAATGAGTTGAATTGCATTGTGGGTTAGTACGGATACTAGAGGAATTCTACGCTTGAAAAAATAACAAGGCGATCGGAAAGGAACATAGAACATTTTTTTCCATGCATTTGCATGCATTTCCATGCTGTCCATTTTTATTCTATTTTTTCCATGCTCACAATTACAAACAATTCATATGTAACATGTAAAAATAAACGTGGAATTCTAGGTTTTTCAAAGTCATACTGTAATGTGATTTTCGCCTGCATTCCTTTGTTGGACTATCGGTGAATACAATTGTCAGATGGATTCCCTGGCCAAAAAGCACAGATGATCACGGGTATTGTATTATGAAAAAACTGTGTTGTCCATTTAACTGTTTAAATGCCTAGGGATGCTGCTCGTTTTCCGCCGTAAATTATCACAAAAGCGAAGATAAACTAAGTAGATTGTGATTTTTTTTTTTTTAAATCCCACCCATTTCTGTTTAAAATCTTGAAAATCTTTCAGGAAGGTTTGGAAGCACACTTTTATAGGACATATTTTTAAAAGAAACAGATTATAGCAATTTCCTGTTTACTGCCAATTTTATTTATAAAACCGGTTCTACCCTATAACCTTAGAATGGGTCAACCTACACCACGTGTCTTAAATTAATTCACAATAACATTAGTAGGGGTGAAATTTAGCGATTAAAATTTTAGCGGGCTACTACAAATCCGCTAAAATAAGCCAAAGTTAGTACCCCGCTGAAAACTTCCGCTATACGATATATATTTATTTCTTCTCAACATTTCTTCACAAGTAACAGACGTATCCGTTTCATGAAACGCCAAATTAACAAAGAGTCTTCGAATCAATTGTACCTATCTACAAATATTTGTGCAAATCTATAAATATTTGTACCTATCTGCAAATATGTGTACCTATCTACAAATATGTGTACCTTTATCCTCTAATCAATTGTATCTATATTCAAATGAACTAAATATCGGTATTATTGAATTAAACATGATTTCAATTCATTTAGGGATAGGTACAAATAATTGAATATATATATATATGTTAATTTACCGTTTCATACAAATGGTTACAATTGCTCGGATGGAATCAAATATGATATGTCACAGCCCATCACAACTAGAATTTTTTTAAACATTTTAAACACAATATATGCTTTGTAGGCTTGTTATACCGCCACGTTTTCCGGAAGTAAATATAGCTAAAACAACCCGTTTTTTCCTTAAACTTCTATAGGGGAGAGGCAGCGAAAGTCGGACGGTTTTTCGGACCCCCTCGTCTGCACCTTTGGTAAACGCTCCAAACTCTTCACTTATAACCGGAAACTTTTACATCACATAAAATGATGTTTTTACCCTCTTTCTATTCTTAATTTTCATTGGTTAAAAGCTTTGTAATGTTATAAATCAAAACCAAACACGGGAAGGCAAGGGCTGATAAAGTCGGACATCAACAGTGAAAGTCGGACATGTAGAATTTTAAGTCGGACACATACTGGTTTCGACATTTAAAGTCCAATTTTCTTCATTTTTTTTAAGGCTAAATCATAGTTAGAGAGTAGGACACGTAGGGGGGGGGGGCTCACTTTTTTCCCAAGCATTACTTTTCACTATTGAAAATTTTCAATGAAAGGCTGGT